GTGTGAGCTCTTTATATATTCTGGACGTCAAGCCTTTATCGGATGTGTCATTTTCAAATATATTCTCCCTTACTGTAGGGTTCCTTTTTGTTCTATTGATGGTGTCTTTCGCTGTACAGAAGCTTTTCAGCTTAATGTAGTCCCTCTTGCTCATTTTTGCTGTTGTTTTCCTTGCCCGGGGAGATATTTTTAAACATTCCATAACTTTTATGTGTAATTAAATGTAACAGTATTTAAGAATTACTGATCACTCACTGTGTAGTAGACATTGTTCTAAGGACTTGAATGATTTAAGTTTCACAGTACTTTATATTGTTAGCCTATCCTTATGTTAGCCTATCCTTATGTTAAGGAGAAAGCTGAAGCACACAGATATTAAGCAACTAGTATTCAGGTAGAAGTGGCATAGCTGGGACTTAAACCCAGATGGTCTCGCAGTAGATCCTATGCTTAGAAACACTATGAGTTCTTCAAAATTGTCATGGTGGAAGGCTATATATGATTCAAGTATTGACTTTATTTAGATTTTTATTTTCTAGAAATTGCCTTAGTAACCAATATATGAATCATTAGTGAAAATAAATTCCATTAGTTCATAGTTAACATGTATTTTTAAAATTAGAATTGGCATTTTCAATAGATATTCATCACATAAAGCTCTAAATTACTTGTATGTTTAAAAAAGTATTAAGTATACTCATATGTTTCTAGTACTACACACTTTTATGTATGAGTAGGAGTTCCAGTTATTCTGTGGGTCTGTCAAGGAGAGGAATTGGCATACTCCCAAAAGAGTTTTATAATAAAAAACTTCAAGTAGCTACGCATGACTCATTATATTTTAGAGCTTAAAAGGAATTATACTATTTCCTATGGCATAAAGTATTATGTATGTGAACCACTTAATATATCAATGAAGTAAATATCTTTTTTCCAACAAATAACTTCTTTTAAACAAATTTTCCCTTGCCCTTTTATTTTTAAAAATTTTAAGCCTCTAGAAAAATTTAAATAGTATAGTGAAAACCTGTATGCTATTTATCTAGATTTATCAATTAAAATTTTGCTGCATCTGTTTTTTTTCTGCTTCTTTCTCTTCCTACCCCGCATTTTTTTCTGGCTCATATGAAAGTTATTGACATCATTTCACTTTACTCCAGAGTACATCAGTGCATTCCACTTAAGAACAAGGGTGCTGTCCTATATAACCAAAATATATTGGTCATGCTCAAGAAATGTAACATTTAATACAGTACTGTCCCCTGAAATGCAGTTTATTTTAGAATTCCCTTAGTTGTCCAATGTCTTTATAGCCTCTTTAAAAAGTAAGTTTCTCTTAGTTTGGTCTTTCCTACTGATGAAGCAGAATATTGGTGGACTTAAAGAGCCTTTTTATTTTAAATATATACCACTCAGTTTACTTAAGTTTATCCTCCTTATGTTAGATTTTTGGCCTTTTTATTTATTGTTAGTTTTTTTATAGATAGAAATTTTCCTACATTTCGAGGTGAAACATTAGAGTAGTTCAAATTCAGGTGACTAGCCCTAATGAATATTTATGTAATTTGTTTTTTTATATGCATTATTATAACACATTTTTCCTAAGGCATCTCTTGTACTGAAAATCAATATTTTAAGATTTACATAAAGCTAATGTGGCCTTGCTGAGAAAGTCAGTATTGTCATCTGCCGTTTACATTTTTTAAATTGTTTTCTATTTGCTGTCAGAAAATTATATCTTTAATCACTGAGGTATATTGCTTGTTTTCAGGAGATTAAGTGATGAAAAAAATCTTCCTCTTCACGGTAAACGGCCACGTTTCTATTCACCTCACCAAGAGCCAACTGTAGTTAACCACATAGTGCCTTTATCAGGTGAAAGAAGATACTCAATGCCGCCATTGTTTAATACGCCCTATGTACCAGATATAGTCAGATGTACTCCACCTTCTCAAGAAATACCATTTTTAGAACCTAGAGAAATCACACTGCCTGAGGCCAAAGATAAGGTAATAATAATGTTGATTTTAGTTTTATCTTTTGGGAAGTTAATATAAATAATGATTAAAAGTATCAGAAATAGCTAATGTCTTGGATTGTGTAGAACATGTCTTTTTTGCATTGTTTGAAATACTATTCAACACAGGTTTTCTGTCCAACTTTTGATTTTTTGGTTTTAGTTAACTTTTCTTTTATTAGAAGTGCAGCTTTCATATCAGGAAATCAAAAATTTTCTCTAATTGATAAAAGCCTAAAACGTTTGATTTCTTAGTTTAGAGAACTATTACTCATTAGTATAGAAAAACAAGTTTTCATATAGATACCATAAATAATAAATTGTTAAAAAACATTTTCTTTTGGAATATTTGTACTTGTTGTGAGGTTTTTGAATGTCAAAAATAGAGAATCTAGGAATTATTGAGGAAGTAATATATTCAAAGTGATATGATCAGGAAAGAAAGATTTACAGAAACATAATTGGTAAAAACCATTTCAAATTAATGAAATGAAATATGTAATAATTCTTGGAAAATGACATTATCAGCATTGGGGAACAATGAGTTATTTAACACCAGTATTAGCATCTCTCTTCCCCTTCCTCCATAGTTAGTGAAACAAAAAAATTATAGGTATTTTAGAATAGTTTATAATGTAAATATTTGCATCCACTTGGCTCGTTTATGATTTATATTTGCTGTTTTGCATTTTCAAAGTTGCCCCACTCTTGAGAAATATGACATCTGTAGGCTAAGCCCCTGTCAATTGCCAATTGATTATTTTATCTCTATGGATTTGCCTATTCTGGACATTTTTTATAAATGGAATCATACAGAGTGTGGGCTTGGATTTTTCACTTAGCATGTTTTCAAGGTTCATCCGTGTCATAGCATGTATCAGCTCTTTATTTTTTAGAGCTGAATAATATTCCATTGTATAAATAATACCATATTTGTTTACACATTTCTCACTTTCGGACTGTCCATTTTTTGACTCTTCTGAATAATACTGCTATGAAAAATCTGTGTGCAAGTTTTTGTGTGGACATGTTTGCATTTCTTTGGGTGAATACCTAGAACTGAAATTTGCTTGGTTATGTGGTAATTGTATGTGTAACTTTTTGAGGACCTGCCTGAGTGTTTTCTAAAGTGGCTCTACCATTTTACATTCCCACCAACAGTGTATGGGTATTCCAATTTCTCCACATCCTTATCAGCACTTCTTGTTGTCTGTTTTTTTGATTATAGCCATCCTGTTGTGTATGAAATGGTATCTCATTGTGATTTTGATTTTCATTTCCCTAATTAATTATGTTGATAATCTTTTCCTGTGTGTTGGCCATTTATGTATCTTTTTTGGACGACTGTCTATTCAGATCCTTTGCCTGATTTTAATTGGATTATTTTTTAATTGTTTAGTTTTAAGAGTTCTGTACATATTCTGAATTCTAGGCCTTATCATATATATGATTTGCAAATATATTCTCTCTGTTCAGTAGTTTGTCTTTTTACTTTCTTGATGGTATCCTTTGAAGCACAAAAGCTCTTCATTTTGAAGCAGTCCAGTTTATTCCGTGGTTGCTTGAGCTTTTGGTGATGTAGCTAAGAAACCATTGCCTAATCCAAGGTCATAAAGATTAATGCCTGTGTGTTATTCTAAGAGCTTTATAATTTTAGCTTTTAGATTTAGATCTTCTGTCCATTTTGAGTTAATTTCTTATATATAATGTAAAGTAAGGGTCCAACATCATTCTCCTGCTGTTAGTCTTGTTGTCCCAGCACTCACATATTTAAAAACAACTGTCATTCTTTTTTAACTATGAAGTAGGAAAAGCAATTACATGCGACCAGTGGGAGGGAGGATGAAGCAAAGTAAACTGGAAAAAGAGTAACTTGAGATGTTTTAGTACCATTTCCCCCTCCCTCCCTTTTTCTCCTTCGTTTGCTTTTTTATTTTAAAGAAACTCTTGTAATGCTATAATATAAGAACCTGTGGTATAAATCAAATCAATTTGAATGAATGTATAAGAATCTTTTACTGTGTGTCAGTTTTTAATATATGTTGGTAGGTAGCCTCATTTTATATGGAAATTATTTTGCATAAGTATTGAAGCTCTGTGTTTTTGCTTGTATTTGTATTAGCACTAAATAACTTAGTTCAGCATATATGGACTAGGTATATGTTGAGTCTCAGTAAATTTAATAATAATTCACATTAGTCAGTATATGTCATTTAGTAAAGTATGGTTCCAAATCAGTAACTCCTTATTTTCTTTGTAGTAGAGAAAAAGATTCTCTTAAATCTTAGTTTTGGAATAACCATTTATCTAGGAGGGATTAAGATATATTTTGTTGTTGAACCAATTTCTTTGAATGTTACTCTCTACTTGACTAGTTGTGGGAGAAAGAAGGTAAGGGAGTAGTTCTTTGTTCATTCTTTAAGTGAACACTTTGAAAACTAATGTTTACTGATGTCTCTTCTCTTCTAGGTATTCTACATATGCTATGTCATTTAGTCTTTTCAACAACCCATGACATGGATATTATCCTAATTTTACTGAGGCTCAGAAAGCTAAATAACTTGCTCAAGGTCACGGCTAGTAAGTGACACAACCCAAGATTTGACCCTTGTCTCTAATGATGTAAAGAGGAGGAACTTAAGATGTTTAAAATCAAGGATAGGGAGATACCATTCTTAGAAATAACTGTAATACCAGGTAATCTGTGACAATAATAGCTAATTTTTATTGAGAGTCTTTCTTTGCCACCACTGTACACAACAGTTTGTACAGTTTATCTTTGCTACAGTGTGAAGTGAATGAGAGGTTCAGTGCACAATAAAAGTGGAATATTGGTTTGGGGCTTAAATGCACAGAATTCCATTGAAGGTCTTTGAGTAGAGAAATAACAATCAGATTTGCATTTTCGGGAAGATAGTTCTTGCAGTGTAATGGAGTTTGGTTTGGATTTAGGAAGGCCTGAAATATGGATGACTAACCTGCAAGATACTAAATTCATTCAGATGAGAGGTGCTGAAGCTTTCAGTTACTACAGATAGTAGTGGAAAAGGTGTGAGAGACCATGCATAAGGAAAATTGATTGAATGTTTGGAGTGATTGAGTATAGAGGAGAGTGGGAGAGAGGGACATCAATAATTCAGTTGATTCTGGACTACTAACAGAGATAAGGAACCTAGATTTTGGGTGTATAAGCTAATTTAGGAACTAGTCAAGAGCAATCTGGAACTGAAGGAGAATATGCTATATAACATTTGTGCTCTTGAAAACCTAATGTTCTGTAAGTTGCACACTGAGAATATAGGGCTATGGGAAGACAGGGTTAAAGCAGTCTACTCAAAACTGCAATAATTTTGTAACAAGAGCGCAATGAAGAATAATAATTGATATCTTGGGAAATAACTTGGATAGACTAGGTAGGCAGCTAGCATGGCTGGATGCTGCGGCAGAGGATGTTAAAAATATGCAAAATAGAGATCAGATGTTGGCTTGCAGTGGGCATTGAGACAGGGCAGTTCAAAGTGGAGCTCTGAGTCAGTGAGGCTGCTATCTATTAAGGTAGACACAGAAGGAAATACACCAGCAGAGAGCTATGTGGGGCTGTAGGTCTGCTTTATTGAAAGGGAATCCTCAGTGCAGACACTTATTTTCAGTTGCGTAAGATCTGTAAGGACTTCTGCCTGTGCAGCAGCCAAACCGAGGACTTTTTTTCTTAATTGTAAAGGTTGTAATTCCACAATTTCAGCTCCATGTACAAATCACTCAACTGACACATTAAATTGATACCATTTCCCTATTTACCAGTGGTCTGTAAGCTAATTGGTATTGTAGAAAAACATGTTGTAGCTGAACTGGCAGTATATATTTCAGAAGCAAGGGCAGAGCCAGAGAGATGAATCATGATGTCACCTCGATTAAAAGTGATAATAGAAACGTCTGAAGTAGATTAGATTCTGTATTTAGTACTGAACAGATATTTGTGGTGCTATGTGCTACAATGTTGTGCTAAACATACAGGGTCTCTTCACCTGTGTACATACAGTATATGAAGGGAAAGCCATTAAAAAAATAATCATGCATTAGCACACATAGTGTAGAGGGGGTGACGGGGAAGGTAGTACAGTACAGAGAAGACAAGTACTGACTACAGCATCGTACTACGCTGATGGACAGTGACTGACGGCCGTGGGGTGTGTGGCGGGGGGACTTGATAATATGGGTGAATGTAATAACCACAATGTTGCTCATGTGAAACCTTTATAAGATTGTATATCAATGATACCTTAATTTAAAAAATGTTAAAAAAAATCACGCACATCACAGTTTTATTTATATATTTACAATTAAAATTGCTATGAAGGAGAATTGAAGAGTGATAAGAGAATGTATCTGAGGTCTCATGCATGATTTAGGGAAAGTAATGTTTGACCTGAGATCTGAAGGATGAGTGGGAGTAACTAGTGAAAGAGTTGGGGTAGGGGGCGTGGAGAGAATGCTTCAGAGAGAAGAAACAACAGTTTTGAAGTTCCTAATGTAAAAAGGAGCATGGAGTATGAAGTTCAGAGGTTTAGATGACCTAGTCTAACCTATCACCAAATCATATCAATTCCACTGCTCGAATATAGCTTTAAATTCACCAGTTTCTCTATCTTAACTACCAGTACTTCTTAATTCAAGGCACCCTTTCACCTAGAGAATACTACAATAACATCTATATCCACTTGTTCAACTTCATACAATAAAGTCAGATTAATTTTAACTCCTCCCTTTTCTCTGCTTAAAAAATCTCTGAAGAGCTTACTGCTGTTAATAGGCAGAAGACCAAAATGACATACAAGTACTCCTCTTCCCATTTCTCTTAACTACACTTCAGCCATTCCCCCCTAATCAAACTCTAGCCACCTTGGCCTCTTTTCAGTTCTTTGGATCCAAGACTGATTGAAATAGGTTGGGGAAAGAATGGGAAAACAGAAATGGAAATAAAGAGTATTAATA